TGCGGGTGAGCTACGTTTTCCTCGACATTCGGATATTCACGTCGTTTCGGATGCGTTCGCCGTTTATCAAGTCGGCGAGGGAGCATGGGCTCCCAAGCAAAGTCTCGGCCTCGACAGCTTGCGTTCGCACAATGTTCCACTTACCTTTATCTTGCCCGAGGCGTTCGTATATTCTTCAGATTGTTTTCAGCGTACCTCGGCACCTCTCCTCAGAGGGGACGCCCCTTCGTAGGGGTCGAAACAGTGTCATCGATGATGCTCTAAGTGTGTTGCGACGGTTTCCAGCCTTACATTACATACTGCCACGTTTCTTTCGTTAGCGTCCATGCTTGCTTTCGATTCCAGTGACGCACCACAGGTGCAGTGATTATGCACACGCATCTGCAGCTAAGAGCAACTCTCAACAAAACCAACAGCCAACACTGCTGTGTCATCGCACGGACCTTCAAACCAAAACTAACAACTCACATTTCACGGGACAACTGCCACATTAGTCATGCATGTTTGGGTTGTGTCCTGTAGTGCCCCTCCCTGGCCCCGATGAGCCTGTGTGTGGCAGTGGCCATTTCCCGTGGCGTTCCTTCATGGCCACTGATGTATCGACACTTCAAGGTAAGCGTACTACACCTACTACAGCGCAAGCTGAACTCAAAACTAAACGAACGCCGCCACGACAACTAAACAACTGAGGATCTAGATGACAAGTGAACGCAGAACTTAAAGCAAACGGTACGACTGAACACTAAACTAAAAGCTGCATACGACACGGCTCCACACTAAACCAGACGCTGCAAATATTTCGCACGCGTCCTGAAACGAAGTATAAGGACACATCAATATGATGTTTCATGTTTGCCAGCGTGACCCCGCACAAGAAGCTTATGAGCTCTGGATGTTGAAGCTCTGATACATGCTAGCCATTGCAATGTACATGGTACCAACTGCGTGTTGCAAACCATGTGGCGAACGCTATATGGTATAGGCTACGTGGTTCAGACAAGGTGGTGCAAGCTAGGTGGTGCAAGCCAATTCTGTGGCGCAAGCCACGTGGCGCAAGCTATGTGGTGTAAGCTAAGTGGTGTAAGCTATTGGCAGTAAGCCATGTGGCGCAAGCTATGCGGCGTACTCTTCGTGGTGTGAGGGATCTGGGATAACCCACGTTGTGCAAGCTCGGGGGTGCAGGCGATGTGGAACAACCTACGTGGCGCAAGCGCACGAAGCGGCGATGATGCGGCACCGCGCGGCCGCGAGGCGGTCACGAGGCAACAACGAGGCAGCGGCGGGCGGCAACCAGGCGAACGCCAAGAAGCTCAAGCCAGCGCACGAGGCGGCGACGAGGCAGCGCCGAGTCGGGCACGGGCGGCCACTGGGAAGCAAATGCCAGTCGAATGAGAAGACAAGTCGGAGCGACGCTCTCCATGCGAACGTCGCCACTGGGGCCTTCGGTGGAGCTCCCTATGCGGCCACGAGGCGCTGTACTGAGTGGAGGAGACGCATGCGAACACCGCCACCGGGGCCTCCGGTGGAGCCGTGGGGGACACGCAGGCGGACACCGCCACTGGGGCCTGTGGTGGAGCTCCCTGTGGGGCCACGAAGCGCTGTACTGGGTGGGGAAAGCGCAGGCGGACACCGCCACTGGGGCCTTCGGTGGAGCCCCCGATGGAGCCACGCAGCGCTGTACTGGGTGAGGGAAGCGCATGCGAGCCATGCCACTGGGGCCTTCGGTGGAGCTCCCTACCGGGGCCCCGAAGCGTGTGAGGGGCGTGCCACAGTGGAGGGGGGGAGCATGCGAATGCAGCCACTGAGGCCTTGGGCGGACCTCCCTGTGGGGCCACGAAGCGTGTGAGGGGTGTGCCAAAGTGGACAGGAGGCGGCATGTGAACGCAGCCTCTGGGGCTTTGGGTGGAGCTCCCTCTAGGGCCACGAAGCGTATGAGGGGTGTGCCAAAGTCAGGAGGTGCCGGGAGGAGGGAGGAGGGGAGGAGGAGGAGAGGAAGGGAGGAGAAAGAGGAGGACGCGGGGCACGGTCTCTTCAAAACGATCACCGAACACCACAGGATGGTTGGGAAAAAACGAACAGTTTTGAAGCCCCCCCCGCATTGGCAAACCAATATCAACTGCAAAAAGGAGGGGGAGTAGCTTTCGAAGCCCCCCCCCTTTGAACGTGAAGCCCGGGCTAACCTTGGGCTCCGGCAAAGGAGGGAAGGTGGGGGTAGCTTTGAAGCCCCCCCCTTGGCACCGAAATCTCAGCTTCGAAAGGAAGAGGGGGGGTAGCTTCTGAAGCACCTCCCGCTCTTTGAAAAATAAGCCCAGGCTGGCCTCGGGCCCCGGAAACGGAAGAGGGGGGGTAGCTTTGAAGCCCCCCTCCCTTGGCACGACAATCTCAACTGCGAAAATGAAAGGGGTGAGTAGCTTCCGAAGCCCTCCCCCCCCCCTTCCCCCTTTGAAAGGGAAGTCTGGGCTGACCTTTGGCCCCGAAGAGGAGGGGGGTAGCTTCCAAGGCCCCCCCCCTTTTAGCTAGGGCCCCCTTGGCACCTTGGCTCGCTCCGACATGTCCCCCAAAGAGGGTGAGGGGGGGGTAGCTTCGGAAGCCCCTCCCCTCCCTTCCCAAGGGAGGGGGGGGGGGGGTGCTGGAAACTGGGGTCCACCTTTTAGTGAGAAGTGCACCAGGAGCGCGCACTTTCCAAGCTTCCGTGGGGATGTGCACCAACATTCGCGTGTATATATATATATATATGAAGCTGGACATGACAACTATAACTACACATCGTCGAGCAACGAATGCGACACCTCAAACGCAATCGAACATGCGAGACCAACGGTAAGACGCATGCGCCACGCGTGAGAACTTCCCCGCCCCTAACCTATAGTCGACCAACATCGAAAATCCCAGCTACCCAATGATGAGGCGCGGAAGATGCAGCAGAGAATTTACATTCCACGCATAATTCAATCTGCGTCGTTGCGATGTGCATGCGCGCCAGATCTGCCAACGCAAGCCTTGCTCCATCCGCATCTTCTCCCTCTTTACACTTGCCGACATCCGTCATAATGAGATCGGCCACGGAGTCATTCTATACGTACGTGCAGCGGGATCGTGGACAAATCTGAGGGTGCGAGTGAAGAGAAAACGGTGGGCACGATAACGAACGCCGCAGAAGCGCCCGCGAGCTTCTGCCATAATCACGGAGGAGCGATGGGCCGCGGAGGCACGCCATGCACTGGTGTCTCGCCGCTGCCGCACAGATTTTGCGAGCGCTCGCCTCGCAAAGTCTGGACCGATCTTTCAACAGAGGCGCTGCCTGCCAGGGCCGCGCCGGTAGCCGCGCGCCCGGGCCAGGTCCCGCAGCGCCAGGTCAGGCAGCAACCCTCGAGAGGCGCTGCCCGCCAGCGCCGCGCCTATGGCAACACGCCAGGGCGCGGGTCCCGCAGAGCCATGTCGGGCACCATCCCTCGAGAGCGCGGCCGCCTGCCCGCGCCGCGCCCACAGGCGCGCCCCGGGGCCAGCGCCCCGCCGGGGCCAGGGCCCGCAGCGCCAGGGCAGGAGCGGCAGCCTCCAAGAGACGCGGCCCGCCGGCGCCGCGCCCGACGAAGGCCCGCGAGGTCCTGGCCTTCTCCGTGCGCGGGGTCTGATGCCCGTCGTTCGTGGGGCCTCTGCGCGGTGGGCCGACGCTTCTTCTGCGGGGCGAAGGGGGGGGGCGAAGCAAGCCTCGAAGGAGATCGGCCGCCCCGATGCTCTCCCAAGACGCCGGAGGCCTGGGGAGACCCAGGCCTCCAACGCCGTAATAGCATCTGCAGACGTGGGCCCCTGGGGCTCTCGGCCCCATCCCCTGGACCGGCGAAGAGGGCCCCGGGAAGCCGAACCTCCTGGTACAACGCAGCAGACACCTGCGACGATCTGTTTTTTCTGCAACCCGCGGCCGCCGAGCTTCCAGCGGGGGGATTTGTTTTGCGCCCCGTTTTGTTTCCGATGACTCCTGGCCCCGACAAGAGCGCCCAAATGATGACATGTTGGAAACGTTGGGCATTTTAACAAAATCACTGCGTCGGAGGGCTGGGAACAAAAATGCCCCCTGCCACAGGTGTTTCCTCTTGGCCCAAGGCACCCCCAGGCTGTCCAAAGAAGCAGCCACGGCCTCCATACCATCTCTCGCGCGGCCCAGAGGGCCCGGGGGGGCTCCAACATGGAACGTGGAGTTGGGGGCACCTTTTGGGCAGGTGACACCTTCAGCTGGGTCGCCTAACCTTCGCGCACTGCCCACCGCGATGCGCGGCCATCTTCACGCCTTCGCGCCACCCCGTTGGAGAGGGGCAGCCCTGCGGCCCAGACCGCGAAGCGCGATCATCCTCGCGCCCCCGCGGGGGATCGACAGTCAGGGCGCTGGAGCAGGCACCGCCTCGGGCTCAGGGCGTGGTTCTGGATTGCGGGCCGCTCTTGGGATCCACCTGGGGGAACCTCCCCGTGGCCGAGGCCAGCCGTGGCCAGAAAGAGGCCCCTCCTGGTCCTGCACTGCCCCGCGCTCCTCGCACGGTGGCGCGACAGCTGCAGCTTACCCCCTCCTTTTCTGGCAGGATCTCTGGCGGGAGATCTTGGCGATGGCCTGTGGGCCCCTTGGGCCGCCTCCAGCCCCGCCGGAACATCGGGCCAAAATTCAGCAACGAAATGTCGGGGTCGGCCAAGAGGGGGGCGTCCAAGAGGGGGGGCGCAAATCATGGCCAGCGGCATGTGCGCGGCCCAGCGGCGGGCCAGGGAACGCACTGAAATAAGAAGCGCCATGAGATCTGGGGAGATATCATGGCCCCCGCTATGATATGATATGCCCCCCCCCCCAGTCATCACCCCCCTCTCTGCCTCTCCCGAAAGTGGCAACAACGATTTACCTACCCACCCAACCCGGGCTTGCGCCTTGCGCTGTAGAAGACTGGCGTTTTCCCTCGGCGCCTGGAGGTCCGGGGGCGAAGGCAGCGGCGCGGCGGCCGTCGAGACGACGAGCCGACGGCCTACAAGCTGCTGCTGCGCCGGAGGGGGGCCTCGGCGCGGTGCGCCGGGAGCTGGGCCTGGTACGCCTGTGCGGGCAGGAGAAGGCTGAGGACTGTGAGGGAGGAGGAGGAGGAGGAGGAGGAGGAGGAGGAGGAGGAGGAGGAGGCGGAGGAGGAGGAGGAGGAGGAGGAGGAGGAGGAGGAGGCGGAGGAGGAGGAGGAGGAGAAGCAGGAGGAGCGGGAGGAGCAGGAGGAGGAAGAGTTGAGGTGGGCGCTCCCCGAAGCGGTCCCTGAACCCCCTGACGGCACTCTGAAAGCTAGCGTTCAGGCACACAAGAAAATCGAAGGAAACGGATCTGAGGACTTGGCTATCTCGCGTGCCTGTGGTGTCAAAGCGACGGGACCAACCGTTATCCCACCGAAGCATGTTGCCCCTGCCGGATCTCATAAACATCTGGCTGCTGACACTGTTGAGAGAAATCCCATACGAGCGCTGGGAATGCACCCACCCGGATTTTCCCCAATCAGAGCTTGCCTCTGTAGGGGTCCTAGCGGATATAAAGCTGAGGTGAGGTGAGCGGCCGATTTCGGTGGCCGGGGCCGGGTGCCCGGGTGCCCGGGGGTGCCCGGGGGTGCCCGGGGGTGCCCTGGGGTGCCCGGGGGTGCCCTGGGGTGCCCGGGTGCTCAGGTGTGTGGCCGATTTCGGTGGCCGGCAGGGGTGCCAGGGTGCCCGGGGTGCCCAGAAGTGCCCGGGGATGCCTAGCCCAATAGCCCTATATCCCTATAACCCTATAGCCCTATAGCCGTATAGCCCTATAGCCCAATAGCCCAATAGCCCCATAGCCCCATAGCCCTATAGCCCTATAGCTTTATAGCCCTATATCCCTATAGCCCTATAGCCCTATGGTCCTAAAGCCCTATAGCCGTATATAGCCGTATATAGCCGTATATAGCCCTATAGCCCGAATGGCCTTATAGCCCTTAGCCCTATAGCCTTACAGCCCTGTAGCCCTATAGCCCCATAGCCCTAAAGGCTTCTAACCCTACATCCCTATGGCCACATCGCCCTATAGCCCTATAGCCCCATAGCCCTAAAGCCCTAAAGCCCTATAGCCCCCCCCCAAAATTCTGATTGGGGTTTTCTCTGGTATCATTATTCGTTGAAGAATTTGTAGACTAACGAGGACATGTGCCTCTGGATGTGTGAAAGCCAGGACAAGGACGACTGAAGGAACACCTGGGACCACTGGGTCTGGAAAAGGTTTCTGATCCTACGAATCCTACGTGAAAAGTCTGACTTCATCTCTTCGTGGGGGTCTTTCTTTAGTTTGAGGATCCAACCCATCGTCTTTACCTTCTTGGAATCCAGAGACTTTCCCGCCGCCTTGTCGGGGTCCACGCGGCAGACCTCGATTTCAATACTCCGGTCACTACAGTGTCAAACTTGGCGATGCGCTTATTGATAGGAATGCTCTGGTTGGTCAGGACGCTTGCGTTTTTTCCAGAAAGCGCGGCCGACAGTTTCCCATGTCCTGGAAACGTCGTCTCGGTTGCTCCCGATGATGAAAATGTTGATGCTGATGAGGATGATGATGGTGATGATGATGATGATGAGGAGGAGGAGGAGGAGGAAGAGGAGGAGCAGGAGCAACAGGAGGAGGAGGATGATGAGGACGAGAGCAGGAGGAGGAGGAGCAGGAGGAGGAGAAGGAGGACGAGGAGGACGAGGAGGACGAAGAGGAGGACGGGGAGGAGCAGGAGGAGGAGTAGGAGGAGGAGGAGGAGGAGGAGGAGGAGGAGGAGGAGGAGGAGGAGGAGGAGGAGGAGGAGGAGGAGCAGGCGGCAGGAGGCGGAGGAGGAGCAGGAGGAGGAGGAAAGGGAGGAGGAGGAGGAGGAAATGGAGGAGGAGGAGGAGCAGGAGGAGGAGGAGGAGGAGGAGGAAGAGAAGGAGGACCAGGAAGAGGAGGCGGAGGAGGAGGAACGAAGGAGGAGCAAAAGGAGGATGGCACATTCGCTTCTCGGTGCCCCCGTTTAGCTCTATCGCTGATGCGGCCAACTCTGCCTCGCCGCCGACGAAGAAAGTGTGTGTGCGCGCGCGTGTGTGTGTGGTGTGTGTGTGTGTGTGTCTGTGTGTGTGGTGTGTGTGTGTGTGTGTGTGTGTGTGTCTGTGTGTGTGTGTGTGCGTGCGTGCGTGCGTGCGTGCGTGCGTGCGTGCGTGGTTGAGCCAGTTCGGCTTCCCACTTCCTCCCGCCGCCGCCGGCGCCTCCTCCCTCCCCCTCCTGCATGGTGGCCAAATTCGCGTTTCGTACACACACCGACGCCCTATCGCCAGCGCAGCGACTCTGCCCAGCTGCCGACGTAAAAAGTATGTGTGTGCGTGTGTGTGTGTGTATGTGTATGTGTGTGTGTGTGTGTGTGTGTGTGTGTGTCTGCGTGCGCGCGTGTGTGTGCGCGCGTGTGTGTATGTGTGTGTGTGGTGTGTGTGTGTGTGTGTGTTTGTGTGTGTGTGTGTGTGTGCGGGTGCGCGCGCGCGTGTGTCCGCTGGCGGGAGCCGCCAGCTACGTCATGGAGGGCAGATCAGTCGATGCTGTCCTTGGCGAGCCCATCGGCCACCATTTCCCGTGCATCTTCCCAGCTCAGGACCCGCATAACCAGGGCACGTGCGGAGAGGGTGAATGTTCTGCCGAGGGCTATGGCCAGGTAGCCGTGGCGGCTGCGAGCGCGCCCGTAGTCCAGGCAGCATTCTATTCGCAGTGCAAGTGGTAAGGAACCGAAATTTATACACCGATGTTTTTTTCCGGTCCCGCACTGAGATTCGCACGAGGAAGCGAATTATGGTGCATACGGCATCCTGGCGCATACATTTTCATTTTTGGTTGTTTCCACGTGCAAGCGGGGAAAATATACACCACACCACCCGACGTCGTCCCCGACCCTAAAGCAAATTCTGGGATTGAATAAACGCCCGCCGCTGGGAATGTATATGCTCCAGTTTCCGAAGTGGCTGCTGGCCATCTAGCTGGCGACGCGCGGCTTCGGGGCCGCGCCAGCCCGCGATCGCCCCGCGGAGTGCGGCGGCTAGAGCGAGGCCGTGATCAGTCAAGCTGATCGGGGCCATCGGGTCACTGGCGAAGGCGCCTCGCGTCGCCGTCTTCAGAGCGCCGCGCTGCCAGCCCATTAGGTGGCAAACCTGTCGGCAAACGAACGCCTGTTGGGTACCCGCGACTGCGGTGCCCGCGCGCAGGAAAGTGCCCCCCCCCACTCGGAGTGCGCGTCCTGCGTCGACGCTTTAAAATTGTTGTGCTGTCATAAACGCTGCGTCGCTGCATACTTCTAACTTGTCCTCTTGCGCGCGCGGCCACGCGTCGGAGCTGCCGCGTGGCGCTGGAACACTACCGCGTCGACATGCACGCTAATCCGTGCGATGGGGGCGAAGGTGAAGGCCATGTGTTAGCCGAGATACAGCGCTGCCGATCGGTTTGGTTTCGCGGCCTGGACGTCATTGATTCGGCCCAGCTCGCACCCGCCATCGCGAGTGGGCGAGCGTCGCGCCCCGCAGCGCGCGAAGGCCCCTTCGCTAATGTCCAGCTCGCCCCCGCCGAAGGCATCCTTCAGACACTTGCGTTGTTTAGCCTTTTCGCGAGGCGGTCCTGCTACTTTGATGGCGTCGACGCGTGGTGTCTCTCAGGACGAGTTTGCCATCTTGGTGTTTGGAGATGAACTATTTGTCGTGCGTTGTAGGGGCGGATTGATGCATGTTTTAATGATCTGGGTGAGTTGAAGGACTGGCACCTCGGCGCGCCATTGCAGCCAATGCTTGGTTTCTATGTGGAGGGCGTCGAGTGCTGGGCAAAAGATTCCATATCTTCTCACCCTTCTTGGGACTGCGACTGCGTCGTGGGGGAAGTCGGGTTCAACGTCGCGCTCGTCGTCGCCCGCAGCCTCAGCAAGTTCCTGGTCGCTGACACCGTGCAAGAAGGCCTTCTTGACATCCCGCGCGTCGATCGTCCATCCTCGGCAAGGCGCCCCAGAGACGATCGCTCGCTGCGAGTCGCGATGGGGGCGCCGGCGCGCGTGGCAATGAGATCGGCGACGACGTCCTTCAAGCTTCAAATTGTCAGACTCGCGCGGGTGATCCGCGCCTTTTGCGCCGGGTCGTTCTACTTCGCGTCCACTTTCAATTGCCCGCCCACTTGCGTCCAAAGGTGTTGCGCGCTCCTCGGCGTCGGCAACGCGAGAAGCCGTTGTGGCTCACCAGTGTTCGGGGCTCTTGAGCGCCGCGGCGGCCACTGCTGCTGCGTGCTCTCGGAGACCTTCGGCGGTGAATGGGTCGGCGTCGCGTTCGACCGCGGCCTTCCTGGGCCCTGCCGCGTAGACCCGCGGGCGCGCGCGCGGTCCGTCCGGCGCGAGATGGCCGCGTGTAAGTTTGCGCGTGTCGTCCGGGGCTAACATCTCCACGTAAACGCTGCCCTCCTCGTCGGCCTCGATGGCCTCTGACGTGGAGGCAGAGGTTCAGCGCCCACTGTGAGGTTGTGGTGGTGCTGGCGAACTTCCGTGGAGGTAGCATGTGGCTGTGTACATGAGGGGCTGGTTGAGGTTCGGTCTCTGATATTTCTCTGGGTGCAACCGAACCTGCCGGCGGAATGTCCTGCGTGACTACATGTTGGCCGCGCGCTCTGTTAGGGGGGCCCGCCGTGGGGCGTCGACCAGGCGTTGATCGCTCGAGGAGTCCTCATGGGCCCTTCGTCGACGGCCCATGGCCTTCCGTCTGCGTGAATGGACTCGTTTGGGCGCGCGCCGGCCCCCAAGGGGTCGGCGCTGCATTCCCTGGCGTCGGCTGCCTGGGGCTCTCCTCCGCGCGATCTCAGAAGCGGCGTCCAGCAACCTCGCCTAAGGTGAACAAGAAATAATGCATATTTTTGTGATCTGGACTCGGGGGCTCGACGGAGCAGCAATTTCGATGTCCCGCCAGATGATTGCTTCGCGGTGGCCCGGCCTCCGCCAGACCAGGAGCAAGCAGTCGCGCGTCTTCGGTCGCGACGCGGCCCAGGCTGCGGCCTACTTGGGCGGCCGCGACGCTGCTGAGA